CCGAGGTGGGCGGATCATGAGGTCAGGAGTTTGAGACCAGCCTGGCCAAACATGGTGACACCCCGTCTCTACTAAAAATACAAAAATTAGCCAGGCATGATGGTGTGCCCCTGTAATCCCAGCTACTCAGGAGGTTGAGGCAGGAGAATCACTTGAACAGGGGAGGTGGAGGTTGCAATGTTGCAGTGAGCTGAAATCACACCACTGCACTCCAGCCTGGGCGACAGAGAGAGACTCCACTAAAAAAAAAAAAAAAAATTAAAAGCAAAGGTTGATAATGCTTGTCAGAAAAACATGAGCTATTTAAAATCAGGCGTTAAAGTTACTTTGTGTAGGAATCTGTTGTTCCTGAGAGCTGGATGCAGTGGAATGAGAAAGGAAGGACACCACCCCCTCATCTCACTTCTGCTATTTTCCAATGCTTGGTTTTCATTTGTTTTAATAAAAAAGAATTATTGCATTGTTTAAATCACAGCGTGTAATAATAAGCATTTATTGAATACTTACATTTTCAGCTTAAAACCCAAGCTAAACAAACACACATCAAACTTATAATGATTTGCTTTAAAAAAGCAACGCTATCTACTAATTGCTGCCCTTGTTGGTCACTATTGCCTTTGCAGATCAACCTCTTGAGAGAGTGTCTCCATTCATTTTCTCCAATTAGTTGCTTCTGCGTTCTTCAAACTACCGCAAGTGAGCTTCTGAGTTCGAAACGAAAATCCAATGATCAGTTTGCCAAATATAATTGATGTTTTTATTTGCTGATATGTAAAAAATTACGTAAATGCTGCATAATTCATCCCTTCATTTTCTTGCCATCTCCCAGTTAAAAGCTGCCAGTCACTGACTGTGCATCTTCCGATTCCTTTTGCTATGCGTTTATAGGTGTATATACGGGATATAGGTGGATAAAACTGCTTTTCATTCCTTGCTCTTTAATCACTTAAATCCCACAGGTCTCTCCCTGGTGGCACATCAGTGTGGGTGGGCCTCCTTCGTTCTATTTAATGGCTATGCTGTGGATGCCCCTTGCTGTATATATGTAGCCTCTTTGCTGATGATGAACGTTTATGGTATTAACACTTTTGTTTTTGAACAATATTTCAATGAGTATTTTTAATAGGGTTGATGAATCATAGGCAAGTGCACTCAAAAATTTATAAATATCTCCAAGTAATTACCAAAATCATTCATCTTTTCTCATCAACAGTAAATGAGAGGCTGGGTGTGGAGGCTCACTGTAATCCCAGAACTTTGGGAGGCCGGGGCGGGCGGATCATGAGGTCAGGAGATTGAGACCATCCTGGCTAACATGGTGAAACCCTGTCTCTACTAAAAAAAATACAAAAAATTAGGTGGGCATGATGGTGGGCGCCTGTAGTCCCAGCTACTCGGAGGCTGAGGCAGGAGATTGGCGTGAACCTGGGAGGTGGAGCTTGCAGTGAGCTGAGATCCTGCCACTGCACTCCAGCCTGGGTGACAGAGCGAGACACCGTCTCAAAAAACAAACAAAAAACACTAACAGTAAATGAGAATTCACATCTAGTATCTTACATCTGGGCCACACTTATTTGGTGTTGACTATCTCATTGTGAAAAATATCTTATTTCACCGATTATCAGTGAAGTCAATCCCCTTTCCATGTATTCACTGACCATATGATACTGTTACTTTCTCCTTTATAATCTTTGTTAATATATTATAGCATGGTTTGCCTATATATATTGGTTTCTAGGAGATATTTGGCTTAAAGGAATTGAATCCTTTATGTGTTTCAAATCTCTCTGCCGTTATGTTGATTTTAAATAATTTTAATGGTATATTGTGTTGAACATGTTTTTTAAAAATTTTATATAATCTGTCAATGCTTTTATGATATTAAGACTATGTGACTTGTTTCTGAAGTTCATAAAACATTACTTTATAGTTTGTTCTGCTATTCTGCATCTTTAATCTATTAGGACATTACTTTTCATTATATAGAAATACATGCATATATATACATGAATATGTGTGTGTGCATGTGTGCATGTATTGCTAATCAGGGTTCTAATATTTTTCTCCTAATGGAAATACAATGTCCTAAGCCATTTATTGAGTTGTTTATAATTGCTTAATGATTTTAGTACTATCTGTGTTATAAAAATGAGCATATTTCATAGGTCTGTTTTTAGACTTTCCATTCTTTTGTTCTAACAACTTGTCTATGTCTGTAGTAATACTGCATTGATTTTATTCCTTAATTATCTTGTAATTTTGATAACTGGAGGGCATGTTTGTCTATATTACTATTATTTTCCAGTATTTCTTTGTTACTTTAATTTTTGTCTTCAGTTTAATCTTTGAATTAGCATATCAAAGTCTCATGAAAATCTCCAATTGGACATTGTGGTATAGGTGGGATGTGATTACTTTTAATCATTTATTAATATGATTCCACTTATTTATATCATCAAAAATTTCTCAAAACTTTGTGATGTGTGGTCACATTTTCCTTTTAATTATATACTTCCTATTGTTTTTTGGCAATTTGTTTTATGAAATGAGAGTTAAAGAGTATGACCAGCCCTCCTCTTTCATCTAATTCTCTTACTTCACTTTATGCATTACATATAGCTGACCACATCTTCCAAGGACCCCAGAACTTCCCTGATTTCCTCTTACATCTCGGACACTGTTCTCCGTTTCTTCTCAGATATTCACTTAATTTAATCAAAATCCTACTCTGATATCTCTACTGAGAATAGGATTTTGTTTATCTACTGGAAACTGCTACTAAAGTATCATCTCCAGTTTAACACATCTGATGTTACAATCTTCTCAAGAGATACACCATCTTAAACCTGTCTTACCTCCTCTCTTCCTTAAGTATCTTAGTGAAAGATACCAGGAAATGTTCCCTTAATTCTTTCTCACATATGATTGTCCTTTCTGCTAAACTTACACAGTAACTTCTTTAGCTCATCAACTCCCCATTGTCCTCAAAATTGTCTTGTCCATCAAGATTCTTTCACCCACTGCCATAGCTTGAGTCACTTAAAATGCACATCTGTCAATATAATTTCACTGTCTTTATAAAAAATATCCTTAGTTCCCCATCACCAACACAAAACTATGAGTTTCTTGACCTTGAAGTCATTTGACCATCATCTGATCCTTGCCCATTTCTCCAGGGCAAGAAATGCTCTGGAGAAATTTCTTGAGCATTTCTTGCTGCTCCATCCATGCTTCCCATTCCATATAGTTTGATTATATAAATACACTTGCAGATTCCCAATATACAAAACTCTACACATGTCTCCACCTTTTTCTTGTTGATCTCTGTGATTGAAATGCTTAGATTCCTTCTTCTCAAGACTACTTCCTATGCATGCTCCAAGGCTTACTTGTGGCTAAGTCTTTCATTAATCCTACTCCTCAGTACGGGGTCATTGTGCCTCTGTTAAGCACCCTGTAGTTACTTCACTATAGCACTTGTCATTTTCTAATCGTTAGGTTATTTTCCTTTCTCCTCTAGATTCTGAGGTTTCTGAAAACAGAACTGAACCTTTTATCTCAACTTCTCAGACACATATCACAGTTCCTATCTCTTTTGTGATATTTAGTAAATGTCTAGCCAATAGCTACATAAAACTGAATGGAAGTGACCAGCATAGTTGAATGTAAGTGAAATAAAATAACCACTCAAGGAGGCCTCTCAGTATTAAAACTGTAATAGGATATGGAAGTGTTTCTGAAAAATCAGTGCCGCTACCATCAGTATTGTGGGGTAGCTCTGCCCTGCTTAGATTTCTTGGGTTTTGCCTCTGATTATCAAGAGTGTCTCAAATATTTAAGACCACAAGGAATCGTGGAAAAATGTTACTTGACTTCAGAGATAGTGAAGTCTGCATCTAAAGTGCTAAGGGTGGAAAACCAGGTTGCCCTTTCCCTGTTTAATGTCTGAGTGTTTTCAGAAGTTATTGTAACCAGTGTGGATTCAAAAGAGAATATGTACTCTCGTTGCTACCCTACCAACATTCAGAGCCATAAACCCAGTTTGCTATGTATTTCTTTTTCCAACTTGGGGGAAGAATATTGACTAACAGGATTGAAGACCTTGCTTAAGATACAAACTGGTGCTGGGCATGTTGGCTCATGCCTGTAATCCCGGTACTTTGGGAGAATGAGGCGGGCAGATCACTTGAGGTCAGGAGTTTGAGACCAGCCTGGCCAGTATGACGAAATCCCATCTCTACTAAAAATACAAAAATCAACTGGGTGTGGTGGCACACGCCTGTAATTGCAGCTACTTGGGAAGCTGGGGCATGAGAATTGTTTGAACCTGGGAGGCAGAGAGGTTGCAGTGAGCCATGATTGTACCATTGCACTCTAGCCTGGATGACAGAGTGAGACCCTGTCTTGAAAAAAAAAAAAAAACAAAAGGTGGGCTTTTATTTTCCAACTACCTTTATCACCTCTGTGTGTCAGTAAGGAATATCAGTAAGATACTAAAAAGTGGCTGGGCCCAGAGAGAACATTTGTTCTATATAATAAACTGAAGAAAAAGTCAATGCAAGAAATAAAGATAAATGTAGTGCAGAATAAAAACATATGTTAGTTGTAGTTACATTTATTTATAAAGATAAATTTAGTGTAGAATAAAAATATGTTATAGTTAGTTACATGGAATATTCTCCTATACCATTTTTAAAGAATAGCAGTAATTTACCTCATTGTATTAGTCATTTGATTGATTGATTTTACTTAGTTAATCCACCGATTTGCCAAAGAAATAGTACAGCTACCTACTTATTCAGAGAAGGCTCTGGAAAGTGGGAGCAGCTGTTCCTGTCTGTTTACTTTTTGTCCACAAATTCCCAACCTGCTTCTCCTGGTGATATGGTTTCTATACACAGTGACTTTAGTATGACTTTGACTTCCGTTTCAGCAGTGCGTGTGAGAGTTTCATTCAAAGAAATGAATATACTACTCTCTTCTTTATTTTTTGTAGAAATGTGCAGTGGTCTGGCTCACAGGGATATCCACAAGCCAGACCCAGAAAGCCTTTGCTACCACTGATGAAGATGCGAAGTCCACAGCCCTCCAGCCAGAAGACCCTTGGTCTAGTAAGTGTCACACTGTAATTCTGTGATCTCAGAGTTCCCAGGAGATGAGACTGGTGAAGAAGCAAGGCTTCTATGGGTCCCTAGTGTAATCTTGGCTGAGGGAGAAGGGTCCAATAATTCCTGAAATATATTTAAAGGAAGCTGTAAAATTTCCTGCCAGAAAAGTTGCTCTGTCAGCTTCCATTTCCATAATATTACTGGCTGCACGATTAGAGCTTAAACGCTTATACAGTCCTTCAATTTTGTCAGTTTTCCCTAAACACTTCTCAGCTTATGTCACATATCTACATGTGATGGGAATATACAGTTCCTCATCTACTACTTCAGTTTCCTGCATAATCTGCATCCACACCGAATAACCATGAGCAGAACTCACTAAATGGATACGGAAGACTTCTGGAAGGATTTTTCAAGGCACTAGGTGAAATTATTTAAAAGCCGACAGATTCTGCAGACAAGCATGTCAGCTCCTCTGACACCCCTGAGGATTCACACCCTGAAGAAATTTGTAAATGTGAAACAGAAGCCCAACAATTGGACTGTGCAGTGACAAAAACGTCGCTCTGTCCAAAAACCTGAGTAGGTGAAGGAAGTTTATTTTGCGTCCTCTGATATAAGTCGCCTTGCCAAGTAAAGAATGAGAGCAAAAAGTGCTATTTAGTTTCATTATCTTGTTTTGCCTTTGATTACAGGATTCCATGCACTGGATTTTTACAGACGAAGAATAGGAGTGTGTTGAGAAGGGATGGGATGGTGATGAAATTAGAAACTGAATGGTGGTTGTATTGGTTCCTGAACCTTGTTATTCCTCCTACCCCTAAGTTCCATTTCAGAAGGGGTCGCAGGATGTGGGTGACTCTGGCTGTCAGAAAACACAATTAGTCTTCTTACCTCTCACCACTGTGCTCTAATTCTGAAGAGTTAGGTAGCAAAACAAGCTCTGCCCTGAGAGTCTATAGGCAAGCTGAACTGTTCAAGTTGGAGACCCGGCAGACAAGTCCCCAAAGAGCTCGCTTTACCTTTCATTAGCAGGATGGGAAAGATTTATTGCAATATTAAAATAAAATGTTGAAAATGTATTTTTTAGGAAGTCTACAGTGATTTTTGTCAATCTGACTTCTATCTGTTCAAAGAATGCAAAATTTCCATAAGGAACTTACTATTAATAGAACAAACAAAACTTGTTTTTTAAATTCTCCTTTAGTTTAACCTTTGTTAAAACACAATTTGGCTATTCGTCTCCAAGGACTGAGAAAATAAGCCACAGTCTTTCTTTCACACAAGTCTTAGAAAGGTTTTCAATAGTGCTTAACTTTCTGGTATGCCACTAATTAAAATTAACTCTTCGGGGAGATTTTAGAAAAAGTATTCTTAAATTATAGAGGTGCTACCACACGTTAGGTTTTGTTTGTTTATTTAGGTCTTAAATCTCTATGAAACATCACTCTTGGAAAATGTCAGTGTATTGATTATGTTCCAAAAATGATACCATACCCTTTTATTAGACCATATCCAGGAGGCAATGAAAATTTATCTTATCTGATGTGACATTCAAAACAACAGTCTAGACAACTAGGAGAAAAAAAAATCCAAGAGCTATTTAAAGTAATGGTGTGTGACCTTCATAATCACTTATATCAGTTCTGTGGCTGTATGTTTTTTATTGGTCCTAAACTTTTGCTTTAGTTAGTAAAATCATTGCAATTAGATAAAGATGAAATCTTGTATCATATTTTTGTACTATTTGGTACAGCACGTTTTGAATACTGGACCATCAATAAATGTTAGCTTACGTTAGTTGTGGAAAGCTCAAATGGAAAGCAAAATAATAATAAAAATAATAATTACATTGCAAAATCAAAGAATGTTAAGGTTGTAAGCATAATATAAGTGATCCAAGTGACAAGGTCTTTGCCTTTGGGTGCCTAATTTAACAATGAGGACCTATTTGATGGCATTGACCGTAACAATGGAGAGGGACACAATCATGAACAGGAGTGAAGTGCACCTGCTAAGCTGTGAGAAAGCGGAACTAAAACTAGCAAATTTAAGACACAGCACAGCCCTCCTACCCATATCCTAATACTGATATGCCTACAGCTTGGAAGCAGAGGCCAAGTACAATCGAGGAAATCCTTTTCTCCACAGTTCCCTCTTCCTTAGCTTACCTACTTAGTTTTTTTTTCCCCCTGTTTATTTCTTTTATTTTTATTAAACATCAAATTGGACAATAATTGTACATGATAGGCTCCTGAAATAGGCTGAATTGTGTCTCCCCAAAATTCTTATGTTGAATCCTAATCTACAACCCCTTAGAATGTAATCTCATTTGGGAACAGGGTGGCTGCAGATGTAATTAGTCAAGACGAAAGTGTAGTTCATGGAACAGAGGGAGCCTCTAATACAATATAATCGCTATCCTTATAAAAAGGGGAAATTTGGACCCAGACGTACATGCAGAGCACCAGAGGCCAGGGAAAAGGCAAGGAAGCAATGCTTCCTCACAGCCCTCAAGGACAACCAACCATGCTAACACCTTGATCTTAGACTTCAGCCTTCAGAACTGTGAGGCACTAAATTTCTGTTGTTTCAGCCACCCAATTTATGACACTGTTTTATGGCAGCCTGAGCAGACTAATACTACTCCCTTTGTGTAGACTCCCTAAGTCACCTTTTCCAAAGTGATCTGATCATCAGAATTGTTTGTGCAGCTTTTAAAAATATAGATTTTAATGGAAGTTCTCACAACAGATTCTGATTTAGAAAGTTTGGGGTGGATCTGGGAATCTTTATTAAAACAAAACCATAACGACAGAACTAAACAAAAAGTCTGGTCTATGATTCTGATGCAGAGTTGGATTTAAGAACCGCTACTCAAGGGAGAAAATACAGAGGCAATTTTTCCAACGTCAAGTAAGCTGGTTCTTTGGTTCTAGTGTTTTTCTCTGATTTAGTTGGTGAGCTTAAAATGTGTCTTCCTCTTCTGGGTTTCATTTTCTCTTAGGCGAAATGAGGAGGTTGGACCTTACTGTAAAGCACCAAAATCTGTAGTGAAAGTTACTCTTGCCAATATTCCTTCCCTATTTATGTCAGTGATGAGAACATATAGAATGTTTCCTTCATCGTTGTGCACGTGGCAGTCAGTAACAATTCTACTTCCCTGTGTAGGTTAAGCTCCCCATCCCCAGGAAATGGAATCCAAATTAAAGACGTGTGTGCAGGTGGCTTATTGGAAGGTGAAGCAAGCAGGGTGAGCGGAGGGAGAACTTGTACTGCCATAGAGTCTCAACAGGGGCTCAAACAGTTCCCCCGCTGACGTGTGAGCTGAACTAAGCCTTCAGATATTTCCCAAATTGAAGTTAGGGGGCTGGGCTTTGGATACCACATTGATTAGCCACTCACTGCATGTGGGTTACTTTCAGAGAAGGCGAGGAACCTGTGGGAGAAAGCATCCTTCCGTTGAGGACAGCTCCTAAGGAGGAGTCAGGCTGAGAGAGGTGACAGGAGTGCCTCAGTTCTAAAGATGGCTGGTCTCCTGGAGGCCACCAAAGCACCTCCTGCAGTTCATCTCCTGCACATTGGATTCTACTTGTTTGGGATATTCACCCCATCTGAGAACAGCTTCCCCAAGATTATGGCTGGCCTCTCTTCCTGGGCAACTTAAAGAGAGGAATGTTAGTTGGATAAACTATAGTTCTTATTGCTTGCTGCTCATAAGCCAACACTTATCTCCTCCCTTACTCTCCTGCCTATTTTAAATTCTCATCACCCTCAGCTGCCCCATCTGTTGGTCTATGTGACTTGCCTGGTGGAATGAGCCACTATCATCAACTGAGCTTTCTCTGACCATGACTGCTGCTATAGTCAATTTACCACCACAACTGGACAGAGGAGTATCAAGGAGTCTCCTCTGTGAATCACCTCAATTCCTGAGTAGTAATTCTTGCTACTCATTGTTATAAGATAATATTCCTGAAAGAGGTGTGTACATTTAACCTATAATTTGTATACTCTTTACTGTTTTTTATAATGGACATGGGAAAGACACTAAAGTTACTTTATATGGAGCGTTCATAGCTGTGATGGTTAATTTTATGTGTCAATATGGCTAGATCATGGACTGCCCAGAGATTTGACTAAATATGATTTCAGGATATGCCTGTGAGGGTGTTTCTGGATGACATTGGCATTTGAATTGGTGCACTCAGTAACACCGATGACATTATCCATCAGTTGAGGGTCTGAATAGAACAAGAAGTGGAAGAAGGAGGAACTCACCCTTTTTGCTTCCTGTCTGACTACTTGAGCTGGGCGTTAGCCTTTTCTTGTCTTTGGACTGAGACTCACACCATTGGCTTCTCTGCTTTTCAGGCCCTTGGATTCAGACTGAATTGACATCGCCAGGTTTCCTGTATTTTCAGCTTGCAGGCAGCTGACTGTAGGACTTCTCAGCCTCCTTAATCATGTGAGCAAATTTCACTTAATATTGTAAAGATTGCTTTAGTCAGCTGGCCAGGTTCTTAAATTCTTGAAAGTAAAAGTGATGGCAGGAGTTGACACTGAAGTGCTATATAACCTGTGACATGAGAGAAGGACTTTCTCTTTTTTCTATATAATCTTCATCCAGAATTACTTTTGGAATTGGCCAGAAGAATTTCAAGCACTATCTTTTATTGTGAGAAATACAATAATACTAGTTTAAAAATCATATATTTTGTATGCTAGATTGTTGTCTAAAGATATCCCAGGACCCCACAAAGACATAGTTACTGAACATCGTGTTCAAATACAGGTTATAATTATCAACATTAAGGTCCTTTAATTCCATATTCTGTGTATTTAGAATCCTCTATTAGGGAACCAGTATCACTCATGATAAGGGAAACAAAAGGCAGTTCAAAATGCATATATTTATTTATGTTTTATATGCTTCAGATTTGAGAAGTGTATTCTGTCTTATAAACCCACAAAGCCTTAGACGATAGCTCCGTGATTGGTTCATCAATCTATCATGTTAGGCAAAGCTTATTTCCAAATGTAACAACAAAACACATGATTAAATGTTACAATAAATAGGAAATATGGTTTCTAGTGAAAATGAAACATCCTTGTGTGTACTATCCTAATAATTTATGTCAAGGCTCTTTACAGCATCTTACCAATCTCAAATTTCCAATCAATGATGAATCCAGATCTTGGGCCTTGCGTGTCATCATACAGTTTCCTTTTTATAAGGAAGAGCTGCTTTCATGTGTTACATTACTTCATGCAAATTACACATCAGGTATGCACCAAACAAATTGGTAAAGTAAATTTTGTTGTGATCTAATTCCCGTAATAGTGTTTCCTAGGAAAAATATATTTGAGTTTCAAGTGTCATAGTCATAAAGGAAATACTTCCCCTGCCTTCCTTACCTCCCTTCCTTGATTTTCCCCACTCCTTTCCTTGTACTTCTTCCTTCTCTTTCATCCTTTCTTAAATATTTATTGAACATAAATTATGTGCCAGGACCTGTGATGGGCTCCAGGGGTACAGAAATGAAATATACTACCATTCCTTTAAAGAGTTCATCGTGGGCAAGGCAGGAAAAGAAAAACATAAGCACATACATACACACATAGATAAATGAGTAACTGCAATACAGTGCAATAAGTAAAATAGCAGAGAAATATGCAGAAAAAAAGAGGGAAATCTTAGTCCGGAGAAACTTTGCAAAAAAGATAATGTCCTAACCCAATGAGGTTGAGGAATTTCTTCCATGTGAGGAAATAGGAACATAGTATTACAGACAGAAGAAAAGGCAGGTCAAAGATCATAATGTTAGTAAAGCATGACATATTTGGGAATTGCAAATTCCTCAATATCACTTGAACTTAGCCTACAGTAGGAGAGAGGTAAGAGATCAAGCTTCAGAGACAAATGAGGAAGATCAAACAGGTTGGAATGCAATACCAGGGTTCCCAGATTTGAATCTATTGGGAAAAAAGCATCAGCAGAGTCATTATGTGAGCATCAAGAATGGTGTGTGTTAAATCAAGTTTAGTCTAAAGCTGCCTCCTCGTGTATGTTAAGTTTGGTGTAAAGGTTTCTGTGTACATTGTGACTATAACCTAAATGGACCTGTATACAGACTGTAGCCTATTCTTTTGCCAGTCACTGAGTTTTTGCCAATCAAAGGTTGCCAACTTTTCAAACAATGTTCAAATAAGGCAAACAGCCAGTTTGGCTGTTTCTGTACCTGACTTCTGTTTTCTTTTTTTTATATCATTTTCCTTTTTCTGTCTGTAAATTTTCTTCTACCATGGGGTTGCACTGGAGTCTCTGAGCCTACTCTGGTTCTGGAGACTGTCTGATTCATGAATCGTTCTTTACTCAATTAACCTCTTTTAAATTTAGTTTGGCTAAAGTTTTTGTTTTAACAATGTGCAAGTGCACACATGTGTGGGCCAGTAGAATTCTGGTAATGGTTATTAGGCCGAGTTGTAGAGTTGGGGGGTATGATAGTTAATGGTGTGTCAATGGTGAGTGGGACACAGGGAACCCAGATTAAACCTTGCCTGTTGGTACATCTGTGAGAGTGTTTCTAGACAAGAATAACATTTATGTTGGTAAACTCCGTGAGATAGATGGCCCTCCCCTGCATGGTCAGGCATCATCTCTTCTGTTAAAAATCTAAAGAAAACAAAAGGTGGAATAAAGAAAAATGTGTGTGTGTTTTCTTTTTTTTCCCTGTATCACTGCTTGAGCTGGGACATCTCATCTTTTTATTTTAACTTTTATTTTAGGTTGAAGGGTACATGTGCAGTTTTGTCATATAGGTAAACTCAAGTCCATGGGTATTTGCTATACAGATTATTTCATCACCCACATCAAATCTACACATATCAATACTAACCTTTAATGTAAATGAGCTAAATGCCCCCATTTAAGAGGCACAGAGTAGCGTGCTGGATAAAAAATTAAGGCTCAATAGTATGTTGTCTTCAAGAGACCTGCCACACATGCATTGACACCCATAGGACATCTTATCTTTTCTCCTCTGGTTCTTCAGCTGGGATTTACATCATGGTCTGCCCTGCTTCTCAGGCTCTCACACTCAGACTGAATGGCACTTCTGGCTTTCTGGTCCTCCTGATAGCAGACTTGTCAGCCTCGATGACTACGTGAGCCAGCTCCTCATAATGTGCCTTTTATGTGCGTTTATATTCTATTAGATCTCTTTTCTCTGGAGAACCCTGACTAATACAGATGATTAAACAAGGTTAAAGGCAAAGATGCCAGTTAGAAAATAATTATGGAGTTGTTAGAAATTGTAAAAGAGTATAGCAATATCTCTTATGAAGACTTAGAGGGAAACATGTCAGGATTTAGTGGCTGATAGGTCAAAGCAAGAAAAAGGAGTCATGGCTTAGTCTTTCATTCTAATTTGGAAGACTGAATGGTTGAGTGCAGTCATTACTGAAGATATGAACCTTAGAGAACAAGCAAAAACTGCATTAGACCCATTAAATTTGCAGTACCTGTAGGAAACTTTAACTTGTGTTTTTCTTTGTTGCTTTTGTAATGGGAAGTTTATTTTACCCTGCATATTTTTTTTCTCTCAGTTGTCTTAGCTAGATCAACATAGCAGCACAGCCTTGTGTATGTTCCTCCCTGAGACTGTTGCCATTTTGAAAGAGTGACTTAAAAGGTGTTTAGCGTGCTTTGTACAATACTCAACATGCTACTTTGTGCAAATAGATTCACATACCTTTGGGTGAAGATTTTACCATGAGCCACCCTGAAGTTATCCATAAATGGACAATGACAGATTTTTCAGCAAGTTGTCACCTATTTTCTTTCTACTTTCTCACTATCTTTAAGTATAGCACCTCTGACATTGAAGTGTTTTACAAATGGTAACTCACTTATCTTCACACCCTTGCTGTGAAATACAATTGTGATGAGAAAACCTGTGATATTTTGAGAGGCAGGTGAGGAGAAAGTCAAACACAGACTATTGATTATCTATCTCTTTCCTGAATATCAGAGGGGGAAATTATTGCAGGACTATTCATTTCATTTTTAAGTATTTCAGAAGCTTGTTTCTCCACAATTTTAATGCCTTGCAATTATCACTTTGCTGCTAATATCCCTAATCTCATTAAATTACCAATTAAAAAATTAACCCAAATAATTCTTCACACCTGAAGATAGACGATTTCTAAATGTCATATCTGGTATTTCTTTCTATTCTACCTGAAACAAAGCCAAAGAAACTATACTTCTTCTAAATGCATCTCAAGTCCTATTCTAACAGAAGTTTATGAAATAGGGTTTTGAGGGAAACCATAGGAAAGATTTCTGAAATAATGTATTTGCAAATTATTTGTGACATATACATACCAGCATGAGCTTTTTCAATTTTTCTCATTTGTGAATAGTTGGAACTCTGATGGGCTTGTGTAACTTTGGATCTAAGACTGCATTGTTCTTAATGTTCTCATTCCAATAATTGTTGCTGCTTAATGTGTTTATCGACTCAGATACAATACTATTTTCTCAATTCATATACACCTGGGGAAACACACGTTAATTAAGCAGACTTCTGATTTTTAGATGCTCATAGAACTGATTGTGCTGATGAACATTGGTTATTATTTCACGAATGACTCTCAAAACAACACTGTGCTCCACGTTAGTGCTCCGAGCCTCAGAGCTTCAGAGTGACTCACTTAGCAACAGGAGTACAGCTGGGAAACTGCCAGAACTGAAGAAAATAAAAGATTTGAAAATTTGTGATCACAAGCAATAGTCCCTATCACTGCACATTTTGAGCCTAGTTTGGCTTGTATAGCCACTCACATGGCCTATACAGCCACTGCATAGCCAGTGTCTCAAAGAAACTGTCAATTCCAATCCCAGTTCTCTCTCGTTCTCACTGTAGCTTTAGGTATCAATGAAAATCTCTGATATGGTTTCCTCCTTTGCAAATATTGAGTTTTTAGTTCAGCAAATTCTTGTAACAAAATTATTCCTTTATCAGGCTGTCTCTTACCTGTGCGCTTTCAGAGTTCTGAATGCTTGTAACAGCTTTATGTATGTTTACTAGAAATTGGAAACAATCGTGATAGCCTTCTCCCAGTGAATGGATAGACAAACTATGCATGCATGCAATGGAATCCTACTGAGCAATCAAAAAGAGAACAAATTATTGATTTATGCAAAATATCATGAGTATTAAATGCATATTTCTAAGTGAAAAAAAGCCGTAAACAAAGTCTATATTCTGTATGATTCAATTTATATGACATTGTGGAAAAGGCAAAGCTATAGGATGGAAAACAGTAAGAAGCATCAACGATATTCACAAATTGTAGTGCATGGGGGATTCAGCATAAAGGGACAGCACAAGAGAATTTACTGGGTTGATCCAGCTGTTCTGAATCATGACTGTGATGATAGATACACCACGCTGTGCATTTGTTGAAACCAGTAGAATTATATATCACAAAGAGTGATTTTACTCTATTCAGAAAATGGAACACAAACCAAACCAAATGAACTAACTATATTAATGAGAATAATACAATGAAGAGGTACGTAGGGAAATAAAAGAACTTACTTAACACTGGAAAAAAGGATTTTGATTGGGTGATTTAAGACTAAAGTCAAAATGTACAATACATAGATTTTCTATTCAAGTTAGAAAATAGTTCACAGGTGTATGAGTTAGCAGTTCTAAAACTAGCAGGCCCTGGGTAGAACAACTAAGTAAATATATTGTAGCAATTAGAGCCAAAATTGTTGCTCTTGGAGAAAGCTCCAACATCCTTGAAAAGGCTAGAATTAACTCTTGATATTTGATTTGAATTGGAGGCATCAGAATTAGCTTGATTTATTTTTAATAAGTAGATTGATAGATAGATAGATAGATGATGGATGGATGGAAAATAGAAGATAGATGGGTAGATAGATAGATAGGAAATACATATGGGTGTATATGTAAGCCTGAATTACTATACAGACATCTGTTTCCTAAGCTTTATCAACTAAGAGAGCCTAGAAATAATGACACTCTGCAGCATTGAGCATAGCATATTCCAAGATCTCTGTTTCTAAGTCTCAAATACCAATAAAAGCAATCTTGAAGAAGTGGTGTATTCCAGAGGTGGGGTAGAAAAAAATAGCAGATGGGCCTGGAGCATCTTGTGGTACCAGAAAGTAAGGATATGCTCCAAAAAAAAGATAGGTGGCATGTCAAAAGGTCAAGGAAGAAAACCTGACAGAGTTCTCAGTTTTAAAAACTGGAACATTTTGGACCACAAACTATAGTAGTAGTAGTAATGGGTTATAACCTCCAGAGAAAATAAATATCTAAAATTCTATACTGAAATAAATAAATTGAATGAATAAATAAGTGGTGAATAATACACAGCTCTTTCTTATGAAGAATTCCAACAAATAAGTGAAGAAGGAAGAGAAAGAAAGAAAATCACCACTAGAACACTGGGGTAGTAATTATTTTGGGTAGGAGCCTCCAAGGGATGCAAATTAGTAAGCAAAAATTTGAAGAGAAACAGGATACTTGCATAGTCTCAAATTACTCATTACGAATGAAAAAGTAGTATATTTTCAATCAAGAAACTAAGGCAAAGTCACCTTCATTTGATCATCACAGTTCTCCAGTAATAAGACATATTGACATGTGCAGTCTAATGTGATGCACTGAGACAGGCATATTGCTTCTGTGGTACTCTTGTTAATAATGAATATTCAACCTTCATAATAAAACATCAAACAAACCTGAATTAAAGACATATGTCAAATTAACTGGCCAGTACTCTTCAAAAGTGTTGAGTTCATAAAAGAAAACTAAAGACTGGATTTTTTTACAGATTGGAAGAGATTAAAGAGACTAGCAATGAAGGGCAATTCCAGATCTTGAATTGGAACCTGGAACAGCAGCAGTAAATCTATTAGTGGAAAAATATATGAAATATTAATAAAGTCCATGGTTTAGTTAATTGTATCATACCAATCAACATTAATTTATTTATATTGCTATTTGTACTATGGGATACAAGAGTTTACAATTAGGGGACACTGGGGAAAGGGGTATATGGGAACCACCAGTGTATTTTTTCGATGTTTTTGTCAATCTAAAATTATTTCAAAAATAAAATTCAAAAAAGTAGACATTGTTATGATATAAGTTGATGAGAAAGCAGGGTGTTAGCTAGTGTTGCTCATTATGTGTATAGCAATGCAATACTGTTTCTGTGAAATTAGTGGGTCTGTTACAAGAAGCTAAAAGGCAGTTGTAGGCTACTTTCGTTCTCTTTTGGGTAGAGAACACTGCAGTGATTTGTGGGATGGTACAAGCTTGTGGATCCTCAAGGGTAGAGTATGACTAGCTCTTCTTGGCATCCTTAGGCTCCTTTAGATTCATCAGAGATGGTCATGCAGTTGACGGCCCACACATAGAAAGGATACAAAGAATGGTATTTATGGACATGAGCTTGGGGTGAGACTGCTTGTGCCTGAATTCAGCTTCATCACTTGATTTGTGGTCTCGGGCAAATTAATCACCCCATGCCTCAGTTTCCTCATCTGTTAATCAGGAAGAGAAAATAATAGTACACATCTCTTAAGATTATTATAAAAATTAAGTGAGAAAACATTTGCCAAGTACTTAGAACAGTGTCTGGCATT